GGCAGGCCTCGAACATCCAAAGCTGTGGGGGACAGGGCATCCCACGCCCACAGCTCCAAGCCTGTGGGGGCCATAAAGGCCAGGGGAAGACCTGTGACCACCAGGGACAGTGCAAGGAGACCAGAGTGAGGTCTGCAGGGATCAAGACCATGCCAGGGCTCTGCCCAGTGGCCACACAAGGGTCACAGACACTGACCCTCCGGCCACCCTCTCAGGAGCCGGGGGCTTCAGCACAGACCAGGGCTCCACCCAGACCACCTGTGGGGCTCCTGCAGTGGCACGGCCAGGCCCCAGGCCACCTGGACAGAGCCTGCCTGGGGTCTGGGAAGTCACTGGTCAGGCGTCTCCGCCCCACAATCTACCCAACACCCAGTGCTGGGCAGCCCTCCTCCCTGAGCGCCCTGTGAGCCCCAGGGCCCAGGCGTCAACAGGCCGCACCCGCCCGCCTTGGCCTCCAGGTACCTGGTTTTACAGGCTCACCTCACTGGGCGTGATTCAAAGGCACGTCACTGCAACAACAAGGCCCAGGACGGCACTTTCTCCTCGGACGGGGCTGAGGCCCCATGAAACTGGGGCAGACTCCTGCAGCCCGCCCACGCCCGCCTGGCTGCACGTCTCAGCCTGCAGTCTCGGGGAGCTCTGGGGGCCCCCGCCTTCCTGAGGCATGGGCAGTGGGGTGGAGACAGCAAGGCCAGAGGGCTACACTGGCCCCACCCCGACAGGCCATGGGGAAGGGGCAGCCCACAGGGCCCCTGCAGGACAGTGTGGGCAAGTCTGAGTGCTTCGGCTCAAAGGGAACCAGAAAGCCCTACTCCACCTGCACACAGACCACCTCTTCCAAGATGCCTGCCGCGATGTCCCAAGCTGCACCACCCCCTATGCCTCTGCTACTGCAGAACCAGCCCAGGGAACCTGGGGACAGACCACGCCGGGCCAGGCCTGGCTCTCAGGGAGGCTCCGGACACGGGCAGGCGAAGGGGAGGCCCCTGGGACAGTCCCGGCCCAGCCACCTCCCTGCAGCCGAGGGCCCAGCCACCTCCCTGCAGCCGAGAGCCCATCCAGGGCACACTGGCCTTGCCCCTGCGTTCCCGCGAACGGGGGAGGAGAAAGTTGGCCCTTGACAAAGAAAAAGCTTCTCATTTGTTCATTACCTTAAAGTCTCGGTCCTGTGCCCATCCATGGAGGGGTGGGTGCAACCAACCCAGAGCTTCCACAGGGCTGTGATGAGGCTGAGGACTGGGCCATGCCCTACCCGCGAAGTCTGCCCTGCAGAACCAGGGGCTCCCAGCTGGGTCCTGCGGGGCTGCTAACAGGCCCGGGCCCACTGGCTAGAGCTGGGGCTCAGAACCAGGGCAGATGGCCTGACTGCCCACGTGACCTGCGGTCTTCGCCTGGAGGCCATGAGGTAGGTGAGGACCTGCTCCAGGGAGCCACTTCTGCCTGAGTCTGACCCACCCTGGTCCCACTCTCTGCTAGGTGCCAGCTGATGGCTTCCATGACCTGAACACTACGCGCAGGGACTCCCCATGGGGCTCAGCGGGGCAGGGCGGCGGCCTCAGGGCCCAGGGGAGCAGGGCGGGGTCTCTGCTTCCCTCCCGCAAGCCTGCCAGGAAGACCTCTCCCCAGCACTTACTCAGACATCAGACTCAGGGGCCCGGGAGGCAGCCCCACAGAAGGGCGAGGTGGGCAGGAGAAAGCGCCAGCACAGCCCGCGGGGGAGGAGGCGGCAGAGGTGGGAGGCTCAGGCTGGGCACGGAGGCCGTGGGAGCCTGCGGAGACCAGGGCCACCAGCCCTCTGAGCTTCCCAGCCCCATGAGCGTCCGGACAGGGCGACCGCAGCCCATTCTGGCCTCAGCGTGCCCAGATGGCGCTCGGGTGTGCTCCGGGGTCGTGGCCGGACTCCTGGCCCAACCCCACACCGCCTCTGCCGGGCAAACACCCCCAGGGCCTGCAGGGCTGAGGGCGCTACACAGCCATGACCTTCCGAGGAGGCGCAGGGCATGGCTGGGGAGGGGGCTGGACGCCGGTGTTTCTTGGTGGGCTCTGGAAAAGCCCCTTCTCCACACTGCAAGCCCCACAAGCCAGAGTGTGGAGGCACTGTCCCCCCACTCCGATCCACCCCGAGGGTGACAGCTGCTACGGCTCCACAGAGCGAGAGTCCCCACCAGCCCAAGTGAGGCACTGGGGCCGGGAGCCTGCCAGGTGCTGAGGGCCAGCGCCGCCTGCCCGGGCCCATGGAAGCTCTGCAGCTCAGGGTGTCTCCCAGGCTGGGAGCAAAGGCAGGCACAGCGCCCCTCGCAGCCTGCCTCCCTGTCCCTGCCGGTTGTTTCCCCGTTTCCATGGTAACGTCCCAAGGTCAGCACACAGGCAGAGCAGCCAACAGGCCTGCTGCAGACAAAGGCGGCCCTGCAGCTCAGCTCAGGTCACTGGTGAGCCAGCGTGGGGCTCCCAACATCGCAGTGCAGGGGGTGCCCGGTGCAGGGCTCCCCGGGGCTCGGGCCTGAGAGCTGCCCCCTTGCTTGAAAGTCAGCATTTCAAACCTCCCACCAAGCAGAGCCGCAGGAGAGAGACTCCACAGGCTGGGCACCCCATCCATCCTGAACAAGCTGGGCAGGACGCCCACTGCCCACACCCGCGGGTCTCTGCTAACTGGGTGTGGCCGCCACCTCGGTCACGTGCCGCGGCGCTGCTCTCCAGCCCAGGCTCCACAATGCCCTAATCATATGCCCCGTCACTCCCCAGTCAGGCCAGCCATCCCCCTGGGCCAGCGCTGATAAGGGCGCACCCGGAGGGGCTGCTAATGGGACAGTGACCCGCAGCTGGGCCCCCATTACAGCTCATTACTGCGATTACATCCTGTAATCCACATCCACCGCCCAGGAGGCAGGACGCCTGGCCGGGTGCGGCACGGGCCCTGTGGAAGGGGCGGAGCCCAGGGGTGGCTCCCTGCCAGCTCCCACCCGCCAGCTCCCGTGCCCACCTCTGCCCGCCTCAGCAGCCTCCTAGCCAACCCCAGGATCTGCTGCCTGCAGGGCCTCGGGGCAGGCACTCCAGGGCCACAGGAGGGAAAACCAGGGGCCTGGCACAGGGACCCACGTGACACCAGACATGGTCACTCTGGCTCTGGATACAGCCTGTCCACCAAGACACCCTCCTTGTTCACCCCGACCTCCTTCACCACCCGGGGACACTCCCCCCAGCTGCAGGGCACTGCCCGGAGGCCGGCCTCATCCCTCCGTGGCTCCAGCCTGTGCTGGCCCAGTGCAGGCCCCCGTGCTAGCCACTGGGCCTCCTCACGCTGGGCGGCCGGTCTCAGCGCTGTAGACGTCAGACTCCGCACGGAAGGCTCATCTCACGGGAGGAAACCCAGGCATGAAGGGTACTGTGGCTACCAAGGCTGCACAGCTCAGGAGGCCCGGGCTGAGCTCCGACCAGGCAGGTCCCTGCAGTGGTCGCAGCCTCTCCCTGGCAGGAGCCAAGGCCCCTCGCCCCCACGCACTGTCTTCAGCCCATGTGGCCAGAGGAGGACGTACCTTATAAAGAAGGACGCTGCAGCTGACGGGCCTGCAGAGCCCCCTACCGAGGTGCCCAGGGCAGGGGTGACCAGGGCCGACGTGCAGGCCCCAGCGCGGCCCCACGCCTTCGACACACCACCAGGGCTTGCCACAGGGGTGGCATCTCGGACTGTGTCTGCCACTGCCACCGCAGCCACCGCCGCCTCGGCCTAAGGAGGGAGAGAGTCCATGAGTGACGGACGGGCAGGTGGACTGAGGCCCACTCCCCCAATGCCAGGGAGCTAACGCCAGGCCTGCACGCCCCGAGCCCCAGCAATGCTCCTGTCTGGCATGCAGGGCTGGGAAGGTCTAGCCCTCAGGCCTAGAAATCGAGGCCCAGCAGGGAAGGTGAGGTGCGAGGACCCACAGCCCCAGCGGGGAGCGCTGAGTGGTCTATCCCAGCAGGGCCCCCCTAGAAGTGGAGTGAACACAGCCAGCTGCCTACGGCCTCCATGCAGCCCCTCCCGCCTGCTTCCAAAACCACAACAGCCACAGCAGCCAGGACCAGTGGACACGCACCCTCGACCTGGGCACCCGGGAGCACCCGGCGGCACAATTAGAGAAGCCACGGTAAATATTTGGCATGCACGTTAACTGCCCTGCATATGATAATATACGACACCCATCATCTGAAATACTACTCTGGCATTTCTAACTAATTAGCTAAAATAAATTCCAGAAAGGAAGACCGCCTCGTGAGGAGCACAAATGTAATTAAGTGCTCCCGAGCGCACCGGAAGAGCCGCGGCCCGGCCTCTGCCCACTCTGCCATGTGCGCGTATCAGACACCCAGCTCCGGGCCGCACCGGCCCTGTCTCAGCCGGTCACTCCTCGGCCCGGCCCCCTTCCCCCGGCCCCACTGTCCTGGCCCCTAGAGGCCCCTCTCAGTCCTGCTGTAGCTACCCCATGCCCGGGCCGGCAAAGGGCCTGGTCAGAACCTGGTACCCTCAGGAGGCCCAAGGTCCTTGAGGCTCCCAAGTGTCACGGGCCGGTGCTACACCAAGTGCTACAGCAGGAGACGCCCTGGGCCCTGAGGGGACACCCCCCCTCGCACACAGTGGAGGGCCGCAGCTGCCTAGCCCACAGCCGGCACCAGCCCCCAGCATGCACAGCACCACGTCTGACAAGGGAAGTCCACAGTGGCCCGGAGGGCAGGCCAGCAACCAAGGGCCGACCTGGACCCAGACCAGCTCGGTGTTGCCCCCGCTCCTCGCAGGTGGGGGCTCCTACACATCCCCAGAACCTGCCCACCAGCCTCGCCCTGCACCTGCTCCAGGGGCCCGCCCTGGCCTCCCCTTGCTCCTCCCCCACCTGCCAGCACAGGGTTTCTGGGGTGTAGTCGGGAGGCCTGGAGGGGCCCCTCACACCTGCAGGGCATGTAGCAGATGCTCAGTTAGTCCAGGCCCTCCTCCAGGGCCCACAGCCCAGGGCACAGACACAGGCAGGCACGCCCAAGAGCAGGAGGTGGCCAAGTGAACGTTCCAGAAAAAGGGTCGGCCAGGCCAAGGCCCAGACAGTGAGAGCCAGAAGCTGGTTCTCTTCCACGTGGCGAGAAGGCCTTGAAGGCCCTCCCTGCATCTGCTGTCCCCGTCCAATCCACATGCGCGTCACTGCATGCTCCCCCGGCCCCCACGGTGAGCCCCTTTCAGCCACTTGGTTCCGTGCGCTGAGACCACACTCGTGCTGGGCAGTGGCCCTGGTGACGGGCTGGTTTGGAAGCAGCAGCACCAACCGCTCGGACCTACACTCTTCCAGCTGGTATAGCTGAGGCCTCGCGGCAGCCGGGCAGTGCCCGGGGACAGCTGCGGCCTACGGCCCCTCCGCCCACTCCCCCAGGCCCAGCCATCCAACTGGCCCTTGGACCCCGCCCAGCGGCAGAGCCCGCCTGCGGCCCTGGCCCCGCACTGACCTGTCTCGAGGGTCCCACACGCGCCTCGGCTCCACCGTCCCACGAGCTGCGGTGACAGGGCTCCGTCCACCCGGACGGCCACCGCCAGTTCCTGCCAGAAGCAGAGCCCGGGCGTGCCAAAAGAAGCCAGCTGGCAAAGCAGGGTCCGGAGGGCAAGGACAGGAGGGAAGACCACGACACAGGGACAGAAGAAAGGGGAGAGGGGCGGGCGGCCAGACAGAAAATGTGATGGAGGCGCCAGAGCAGCAACGAAGGAGAAGCGTGGAGAGAGGGAGCGTGAGGTGCGGCCCGCTGGGGGCGCTGGCGAGCAGGAGCCCGGGGCACGCGTCCGACCGGAACCCACAGTCCGACCTGTCACAGGAGCCCTCCAGGCCTGAGCTCTACCTCTGCAAGCCCCTGGAGACGGCAGGCACCCCTAGGAGCAAGGGAGGCCAGGGGGCTCCCATGGAGGCAGCAGGACCAGCCACCTGAACGCGAGGCCAGGCTGCCCAGGGCCTCTGCTCCCGGGGCTGCCTCTCCACGTGTGTCTGAGTGCACTGATGGTCACTGCAGGCGTGGGGCCAGGGCCTCGGGGTCGCGGTATCCAAGTGTGGCACAGCACAGGTGTCCTCGCACCCGACTGGAGGCCGTGCCCGCAGGACGTGCGAGGCTCGCTGAGCCCAGGCCCTGAAGGCCCAGCACAGCAGCGGCCTGTGGCTCTCCTTGGTGCTCTCCGGCAGGCAGGGTGGGCGGCCACGGCCAGGTCCCGGGGGGCACCGCTGTCCTGGGAACTGCAGAGCCAGCAGTCTGAAGTGTGTCTGGACACCCAAGAGGCAGACGGATCCAGAAAAGGCCACACTCAGCTCGTGGACGCTCGTGCTGGCTAAGAAGCTGGCTGCCAGCTGCTCCGCCAGGACCCGGGCTCGGCCACACCGAGAGCCCTGAGGGCAGCCGGGCAGGCCCCGACCACAGCATCCAGGATGTTCCAGCCCTGCCTGTGGCTCCAGGGGCCTCAGAGTCAAGTCAAGGATCAGTCCCTCTGGCCAGGCCGGTCGCCTGCTGCTACAGCCGAGATGAGCATGTCCACGGGCCCCACGCCTCGACCCTCTCCGCAGCCTGGCCGCCCGCTGCTTAGGCCGGTGCTGCCTTTGCACCCGGGCTGGGCCGGGCAACCCCAGCACGTCTCCCGAGCACTCGGTTTTGGAGTCTGCTGACGACTCTGCTGCAGCCCAGGTCTCCCTCTAACGGCCCATGCCCTGGTTCAGGGGGAGTCGCCTCATCTGAATCCCGAGGTTCTATTTACGGCTCTAATAATCTCCCTATTGATTGCCGGGCTCGTTGTCTAATTATAAATCCATTCCCACCCACCCTGAACACGGTCGATGCACACAGAACACGGGAGAGGGCGCCTTGAACACCCATACTTGACGGTGTGTAGGCTGCCCGGCAAGCAGCTGGTCACAGCCCTGACACCATCCACAGAGGTGTGACGCCCACGCCGGCCATGCAGACACTGGTCAGACCTGTGGCCACAGACAGGCCTGGGCGGGGGACCACTCGGGTCCTGAGCCCATCATCCTCCTCCCTCCAGCCCAGCTCGCCCGAGCGGCGGTGGCACCTGCTGCCCACCCCAGCGCCACCCACCGCATGCCTTCCTGGCATGTGCCAGTCAGGAGGCGTGTGGGGACACAGGCAGGGGTGGGGAGCAGAGGTGCGTGCCAGCACACTGTCTCAGCGTCAAGAGCAATAAGGCCTGCAAGGCCTTCCGGAGCTCAGCCACAAGGACCAGCTGTAGCCTGGCGGGATCCTCATCCCAGACTACCCCAGAGCGGAGGTGTCCATACAGCACCGCAGGGCCCGCAGGCCAGCAAGCCCGAGGCAGGGCAGGGGTGCTATGTCAGGGTTCGTACTGACTCGGCCTCAGCTGCCCCAGGGAGCCCGGCTGACTGCAGACACACCGTGGTGGGGGGAGTGGGAAAACACACCCAGGGTCCCACAGTGGCTGCAAGGCCATTGCCAGCCCCTGCCCCTCTCCCCAGCATCCCCCCATGGGTGCCTCTGCCTCCGGGCCTCCACTCAGCCTGCTCCCTCCATTCGGGGGTCCTTCCTACTCTGTGGCCGGAAGGCCTGACACAGCCCCCAGTGCGTCACAGAGCCCTGGGCTGGGCGCTAGTGGGCAGTGCCCAGGGGCGGCCTCCCCATCGGGCAAGGCACAGACAGTGGCTGGCTTGCCTCCTGGGAAAGGCCTCCAGAGCCCACTGCAGGGAGCCCCGTCCCCTACCACCGGACTCCCCAGGGACCCAGGGAGCCCCAGTCCCACTCACTCCTGAACCCCTCTCCTGGGGCACAGAGACTTGGGGTGATCCCCACAGCTAAGCTCTGCAGCTGGCAGGAGGCGGCTGAGGCCCAAGCTCCACACTGAGAGCTGGCTTCATCTCGGGCCCCTTCCCCAGAACCGTGGTCCCTGGTCAGGGGCACCCAGAGCTGGCTCTGGGAGGCCTGCCGTGCGGGGGTAAGCAGGCAGGCCCGCGTCTGGCTCTGGGCCCTGTGGACACAGGAGACGGGGCGGGGTTCTTCAGCCCACTGGACAGGTGCCTCCTGAGACCAGGCCTGGCCTCTCCCAGCTTCGTCCTTACCAGGCAGTGTCACTTGCCTGCAATGTCACCTAGGCTGTGCCCCTGGGGGCCACCTGAAGGGGAGTTTCCTCCCAAGAAGACAGCCCCTCCGTCCCCACCCTGGGGTCCTCCGTTGTCCACAGCCTTGCTCGTGGGCTTGGAAGCAAAGGCACCCAGGCTGCCCCCACATGCAGGCCTGCTCACCAGCACTGTTGCCGGTGGGACTAGGAGGGGTCTCAGGAACTTCCCCCCACATCCACGAACCCCTGGCTTCAGAGGGAGCTTGCTGCAAGGCGCCCAGACACGGTCGGGCCCCAGGAGGAAACCTAGTCTTGACCCAGCCTCGCCAGCCCTGCCTGGGGCCCCATGGCGGCGGCCCGCCGGCGCACTCACCAGGTATGCCGGTGGCAGGAGGCTGTTGACCCTCGAGACGCTCCACATGCCCTCGAGGCACTGCTGCGCCTGGATGGTGACTGTGCTCAGCGCCCCGCCGAGGCCCGCAGGGGCCACCGACACCCGCACGCTGGGCCCCGCGGGCCAGGCCGGCCCCTTCTTCTGGTGGCCCGGCTGCCTCCCTGGGGGCCCCGCAGGCGCATCCCGCGGGCTGGCCATGGCACTGGAGCCCAGGGGCGTGAAGCCAGCGCCTCCATGGGGACCACTGGAGTCCTCGCTGCTGGGAGGGGCCTGCAGTAGA